AGCTAGCCTCAAGTCACAGTTAGCTTTCAGCTAGCCTTATGAGTCTGTTAGCTTTCAGCTAGCCTTATGAGTCTGTTAGCTTTTAGCTAGCCTCAAGTCACAGTTAGCTTTCAGCTAGCCTTATGAGTCTGTTAGCTTTCATATAGTCTCATACAACCATTAGCTTATAGCTAGTCATTTGGAACTGCTAGCTTGTAACTCATTCAGCAGGTCATTCAGCAGGTCATTCAGCAGGTCATTCAGCAGGTCATTCAGCAGGTCTTTCAGCAGGTCATTCAGCAGGTCATTCAGCAGTCACAGATGTAAATAAATGTCAGTGTTTGGTCCTCAGATCCTGACAGATTAGCTCTCATCTTTTAAATAAGGCTGACTTCATTTCTTCACTTTGTCCTTCAGATATTTCATTAATCAGAATGAAAGCATGACAGGTGAGGTCAGATCAGGTTTCTTCAGCGTTTGGTTGAAAACCAAACTGAATAATTGAGCTGTGTGCAGCTGAAGTCTGGTTATATAACTGATTCATGTGGAACATGTAAATGTTAGCAGCTCTCACTGATTCAGATTTAAGTGGACAAAACAAGAAAACATCAGCAGCACTCTAAAACATGAACAGTAACCTTTAAAAAGGCTGAAAATACTGACCTTTATCAAATAACAGCTGGAAGAACTTTAACACTTTTACTTTGACAAAACTTCCTGTTTTCTTCACAGACAAATAATCTAAAACTAACTTGTTTTTATTTTAAAGGAGAATCAGTCGAATGTTTTCCTGCTTCCAAACAATAATTCATGATCTGAGAGTTCAAATCTATAAAAAGTTATTTATTTATTAACGTCAGGATTTAAATGAGCTAACTGGACTGTTTAGTTTGAACCGTCCCTGACTGTAAACTATAAACACACTCGGTGATCCCAGACTGAACTAATCCTGGACCTGGACCACGTGGACCACGTGGACCAGGTGGACCAGGTGGACCAGGTGGGTCAGAAGCCCTAACAAGCAGATGTCTGACCCTGTTGGGTTGGTTCACATCGTAGCTGTTCAACGAGCCCAGCAGGTGCTGCAGACCAGGAACGTTGTCATCGTTTATGGCGTGGATGATGGCCTTCATCACAAAAGAGTCTTCCTCATCCTGCAGGACAAAGAACTGAAGTTCATCCTCTGTCCCACAGCAGGACCCTGTCCACTGGTCCATCAGGTCTTACCAGTGTATCGTCACTGCGAGCCACGCTGATGTTGCTGCGGGACAGGAAGGAGCGAGACAGCCGGTTGCACAAAGAGATCAGACGGACAGATTGCTGCAGAGAGACAGGAGACAGGAGGACTGAAGGAGTTCATGTGGACTCAGGTCAGCAGGTCTGTCCCACCAGGACCGAAACCAGTTCTGTCCTTCCTGTCCCACAGCTCAGTGACCTGCTGACTGATCAGGACTTCAAGACACAAATATGTTGTCAGTAACTAGAGAAACACCAGTCAACACCTGTAAACGCCTGTAAACGCCTGTAAACATCTGTAAACATCTGTAAACACCTGTAAACGCCTGTAAACACCTGTAAACACCTGTAAACGTCTGTAAACGTCTGTAAACACCTGTAAACACCTGTAACACCTGTAAACACCTGTAAACGTCTGTAAACACCTGTAAACGTCTGTAAACACCTGTAAACGTCTGTAAACACCTGTAAACGTCTGTAAACACCTGTAAACGCCTGTAAACATCTGTAAACACCTGTAAACGTCTGTAAACACCTGAAAACACCTGTAAACATCTGTGAACACCTGTAAACACCTGTAAACGCCTGTAAACACCAGTAAATGCCTGTAAACACCTGTAAACGCCTGTAAACACCAGTAAATGCCTGTAAACACCAGTAAACGCCTGTAAACACCAGTAAACACCAGTAAACGCCTGTAAACACCAGTAAAAGCCTGTAAACACCTGTAAACGCCTGTAAACACCAGTA